AGAATGCCTTTAAATTTAGAATATAAGTTCCATGAGAATGAGATTTGTATTTTGTTCACTAGTGTGAACAATGATTAGCAAAATGTAGGTATTCATTATAACCCCTTGCATGTTGCTCAAAACAGTACAAATAGTTAGTTTGTCCACAAAGACAAGGACCTGCACAGCCTAAAAATTGTGAAGTTCCACTTGGAGTCAGTCTTGATCTGATCACTGCTGCAGCCTTCACACACAGGGTTCCACAGATCAACACAAACAACTAGTAAATTAGGTGTAGCGGTGCACACCTATAGTCCAGCACTCAGGGAGATTCTCCCAGACTGAGGGAGAAGGGTTGCGGTAAGTTTGAGACTAGACCAGGATACAAAGTGAGACCCTGTCTAAATTAAATAAATAAAATGCCAAGCCACAAAAATATCAAAAACACAACCAAAATTTTCAACAAGCACAGACTACACTTTTTTTCATAGACAATCCAATTCTAAAAGAGACATTGTACTTTGAAATGATTTTTTCTTTCTTCCCTGGGGAGCTGAGGGCTAAATCCAGGACCTTGTGCTTGCTAGGCAAGTGCTCTACCACCGAGCTAAATCCCCAACTCCTTGAAATCTTTTCTGAAAAGCAAGTTGTACAGAGTGGTATGTGCTTGGATCCCACCACTTGGGAAACTAAGGCTAGAAGGTCTCAAGTTCACTGCCCGACAGGCTACATAGCAAGGTCCTGTCTCAAAATACAAAAATATAATAAGCAGCTACGGTATCATGTGCAGGAGAATGAAGTGGGAGGACACCACTTGACAGCAGGAGCTCAAAAACAGCCTATGCAACAGAGCACACCCTGGCCTCAAATATATAAACAAATAAACCTAATGCAGGTTCATCCCCAGTCTCACAAAGCAGGCCTAACCCTTCCTTTATTAGCTGGTTTAACTGTGCCTAAGAATCCACCAGGAGATACACTTCCTAAGGCTCCTACAAATGACCTCCTGCTGCTCTAGTTATTACTCATGAAACCACAATGCAAGTATCTCAGCCTCCTCCATTAAAAGCCATCATGAGCCAGGATCGTAGCTTACACGGGCAAGCTCAGCACTCAGGAGACTGAAGCAGAATAGTCCCTAATTCCAGGCCTCCCTGGTCTACAGAGAGCTCCATTCAGGCTGGCTGGTCTATAACGTGAGATCTTAGCTTTTGTTTATCTGCTACCTCACTGCACCTTGTAACTGGTAGTTCTCTTCTCCCCTCCACTCCAGTCTTCTCTCTGAGCAATGAGGACCCAGAATGAAACAGGTCTTAACCTCATTCTTTCTTATTCTTTAGCGACCCTTTGAAAATCTGTTGAAGCTGTGGGTGACCTCTCCATAAAAATACACACACTTAGGAGACAACTTTTATAAGTTACTTATGGCTCATGCTTTAGAGCTCCAGCTACTCAAGTTCAGTTCCCAGCACCCATCCGCCAGTTCCTAACCATCTATGACACCAATTCCAGAGACCTTGACACCCTCCTCTGGCCACCTTGGGCACCAAGCACACACACACATACAAGTTTGAAAAAAAACTGTTTATAATAGAAAAAGATTCCACTTAAACATGCACCAATAGATGGCTAAATGTTATGCCCATTTAATAAAATCCCACACAAATATAAGAGCATTAAAGACATTTTCTGTTCTACTATGAATGTATATTAAACAAGCAAACACAACTTATAGGGCTAGGGAGATGGCTCTGTGGCTATGAGTGATCTGCAATGAGGACCTAAGTTTCAAATCCCTATATTAAAGGCCAGGAGCAGCTACAGGCGTCTGTCATCTCAGCACTGAGGGGCAGACTGGAGGATTCTGAGATTCTGCTGACCAGTCAATCTAGCAAAATGAAGAGCTTCCAGGTCCCTCAGAGCAATCAGGCATAGAGGAAGGTGTCCTCACTTCAAAACCAAAGGCAGAAAACAGTGGTTCTCAACCTGTGGGTCGCAACCTCCATGGGGGTCGAATAACCTTTTCACAGGGATTGCCAGAGTCCATCAGAAAACACATATTTACATTACGATTCACAACAGTAGCAAAATTATAATTATGAAGTAGAACAAAAATAATTTTATGGGTGGGTGTCACTACAAGGTGAGGGTCACACTATGAAGGCTGAGAGCCACTGGCATAAAAGAAGATATCTGACATCTTGCTCTGTCTTGTTTGTCCATGTAACACACACACACACACACACACACACACACTACATAAAGAACAATGTGCATTACATACAACCATTTGTATAAAAATAGGAAAATATAAATTTTAATTTTGGTAAGGATTTGGTAAGATGCATAATTGTAAAAGAGTAAACAGAACACTGGAGACAGTGGAAATGAGAAGAAAGCAGTATCACCAAGTAACTTTTTCTATTTGCATCTGACTCAAGAATGGTGAAAAGGGCCGGGCGATGGTGGCGCACGCCTTTAATCCCAGCACTCGGGAGGCAGAGGTAGGCGGATCTCTGTGAGTTCGAGACCAGCCTGGTCTACAGAGCTAGTTCCAGGACAGGCTCCAAAGCCACAGAGAAACCCTGTCTCGAAAAACCAAAAAAAAAAAAAAAAAAAAAAAAGAATGGTGAAAAGGGTTTTGGGTTTTGAGTTTTGTTGAGACAGAGTCCCATGTAGCCCAGGCTGGCCCTTAACTTATCATGTAGTCAAGGAAGATCTTGAGCTTTTTAAGATTCTGTCTTAAATAGTGGGAGTACAGGCTTGTCCCATCACCCTCAGCACAATTTATTATATTTTTATGTATGTATTTTGGGAAGTGTGTCCATGTGCCACAACACACACATGGAGGCCAGGGGACAACTTTCCGGAGTCAGTTCTCTCCCTTCACTTAGAATTGAATTCAGGCTTGACATCTTGCTGCCCCCCATTAAGGTTTTAATTTAAAAATACTGTGTATAACTTCAGTGAATACCCACTAAGGCTAAACATAATTGCCAAGCCCTATTCAGCAATTCTTTTTTTTTTTAAGTTTTGTTTTTTTGAACAGCTTCTCACATAGCAAAGAAAAACCTTGAACTCCTGACCCCAAGTGCATTTCCCAAATACTGAGGCCCCAAGTTTGGATCACCATGACGGGTTCAGTAGCGTTTTTCTATTCTTCTAAAATTATTTGGCTGAATAAACATAAGACTGCAAATACACGATGATCCAAAAAGAAACTTAGGAAAAATACTTTTCATTATGACCCGCATACAACTGGAAGACACACAATTAACTCAATAAATCCTATGCACTCTTATTTTAAGTAAATGTCCTTACTCACTAATAGCCTATCCTTTATGAAAACAAACTTCTTTAAGAAGAAAAACTTTTTTTAAAAATATTTATTTATTATGTATACAATATTCTGTCTGTGTGTATGCCTGCAGGCCAGAAGAGGGCACCCGACCCCATTACAGATAGCTGTGAGCCACCATGTGGTTGCTGGGAATTGAACTCAGGACCTCTGGAAGAGCAGACAATGCTCTTAACCTCTGAGCCATCTCTCCAGCCCCTAAGAAGAAAAATTTTACACGAACCAAAAAGCAATAGTCTCTTTCATAGTTCAAATTTCAAAGCAGGTACTTCACAACTGCTCCTAGAGATATATAAATAAAAACTGCTATCTTAATTGACTATACAATCAATGTAGTAGTAGAGAGACCAGAGAAATTACCTTATATATTTATAGTCTCAGAAATTAAAGAAAACTAAATTGAGCAAGAATCAGATGGAATTGGATTTTTATCATCAGGCAAGTTATTTACTCTCTCTAAGCCTCAGTCTCATCTATAAAACAGAAATAAACATACAACTTTGCAAGAGCACTGTGATGTTAGAAAAAGAAATAACAAAAAACACAGAAAGTAAAATGAAAACCACCTCAGCCCTTGGAGAAGCAAGGATAAGTATCTTTGGCAGGTGTCCCTGCTTGAACCAAAACAGATGCATTCTGGACCCTGTAGTTTCTAGGAACTACACTTTCATGCACACAATGCAATGCCTGCTTTCCCCTACAGAAAACAACGCAAGGCAGTATTCCTAATATAATAAAAGGGCTATGAAATGGCATCTCCTGACTTTACATTTCTTAAAAACCTATGTTGCCTGGGCGTGCCCCCAAAGAAGCCTGTCTTGGTTCGTATTACAGAAGGGATTTTCTTCCTCAGACTTCAGCACCAACAAGTGATGGGCTGCCGCTGCTGAGAAAGGAGTCCTGCAACAGAACTTTAAACTGCCAGCATCACAGCCGGAAACCTACCCAGAAAGACCGAAAACAGCCCCAGTCAACCAATCTTAGTCTCCCAAACTTAAATTCCACCCGGCTTTTTCACCGAGCGCTACTGGCGTTTATGATCAGTATTATCGCAAATATAAATAGATGGCATTTATCTCATCCTCACTATGTGCCAGGCTCTGCGATAAGCATGTATTTTTCAAGATTGCATGAGCCGCGAGCTCATCCACCACCAACCGCTCTGCTCTCAAGTCTGCAAAGCCCCACTTCACGGCGTCAGATTCGATCTGTCCCTCTGAGCCTGGGATACCCAACACCCGCCGCTCATCCACTCGAGCCCAGGAAAACACATCCTTCTCAGAACACGACCCCAAGCCCCTCCGCCTAACGCTGACAACAAGCGCTCCTGGGATCCTCCGGAGCCCCTCCTCCTCCACGCACCAACTCCAACATGCCCCTAACTTGTTCCAAGAACTGTTTCCTTCCAAACTTGTGACTTACGCAAGGCGCGGGGTCCCCTCACTGCCCCTCTCCAAAGGCAACAAGCCCGCAGTTCGCTCCAAAGTTCAACCTTCACCAACCATAGACGGCGTCGGGACCGAACCCAATCGCGACCCCAGGAGAGAACTATCCACACCCGCTCCAGGAGGGCCCGGGATCCTCCACCCCGCTCACCAGGCCAGACCCGGGGTAGCTGGGCCTGGCCGGGACCCCAAGGGGAGGAGGAGAGGGGAGGCTTCACCTGGCTCCGCGCGCGGCTCCGGGTCCGGCCTGGGCCCCGCGCCGGCCGCGCCCCCGTCCCGGCGCGAGCGGCAGCGCTCTGGTTGTCCGCGACGGGCGCGCTCGTTCAGCAGCTCCGTGGCGGCCTGGCCGTCGTCGCGGGCCCGACGTCGGGCCCAGCCCGAACCCCGGGGACGACAGCGACGGCAGCCCGGGCCCGCAGCGCGGGAGGCGCAGCCTCGGCACCGCGAGTGGCCGCACGGCAGGGCCGCCGCTTCCCCCGGGGTCTCCAGGCACCCGGCGCAGCCCGACTCCTCCGGCTGTGGCGGCGGCGGTAACACTAACAACGCGGGGCTAGAGGCCGGGCCCGGAAGCCCGGTCTTCGCGGCCGCCATCTCGTCACAGCGGCCCCGCCGGCCCCGCCGACTCAGAGCCGCCGTGGCCGCCGCGGAAGAAGCCCGAGTGCTCGGACCTGCCGCCGCCATCTTGTTTCCCGTTTGAAGGGAGAGTCCGTTGCGCTGGGGGAAGAGTAGAGGGCGGGGCGCGGCTGGCATAGATCTGCATATTCATGAGGGGGCGTGGACCTAGTGGCTTGGGGACGTTTCTCCCCGAACCTCCAGCTCCGCTGAAGAATGCTCATTAATATTTAATGTTATTCTTGATATATCCGGTCGTCAGCCCGCCCTCCAGTCTTTGCAGTTTCTAGCACTGAATCCAGAGAGGCTGCGCGCTGGAAGGGTTTATTTGGAAATTCTGAGCGACGTGGAGCTTTATAAAGTAATTACATCTGTGTGAGCTATCCAGAAACCTGTCGAAGTGCTTCCTTGGGTCACGGCCGGTGCTTTTTTCTTCAGGACCACGACAGCTTGTTGTGATTGAAAATGAGGCCTACCATGACCAAAAGTCTTTAATGAGTGTTGAAATAACAAGCCTGGCCAGCTCTCATCCTCTCCACATCCCTTCATGAAATCCCCTCCCTTGACCGGGGGCAATAGGGTACTTTATTTCACACATATACACACACCCTAGCTCCGTCTCTGATTCCTTCCTTGTTCGATACTTAAATGTAGAAACTCTTCTAAGTGTGGTTCTCGGTCCCCTCCTTTTCTCACTCTGTGTGCTTCCCTGGTCCCCCCATAAGAAGGAGGAATGAGAAGGAGGATGAGCCTTCTCAAACCCCGCATTGCTATCTGCAGCTCAGAGTTACTGAATGCACTATGATACGCTTGGATGTCTGCATCCCTCATGCACAAGCCTAACACCACAGTCCCTTCAGAACAGCCGCTCTTACTTCCCACAGTCTATTCCCAGAACCGCGGCCACAGGTCCTCAGGCTCCCGGCCCAGGCATTATCACCGTCTCCCACAGTCCAGCCATTTTCTGGCCAAAGTAGCTCCTTTCCAACCTGTTCTTGGCAACATTATTTCCTGGTCTCACTCTTTGGTTTATTTCTCATCATCTCTTACCTAGCTGGCAGCAGTGACTTCGGCAAACTGACCTCCTACCACGCTGCCCCACTTCCTTTAAGCCTTGTTCCGTGGCTCCTGGTGTTCTTTCCTAAAGGCCAGCTCTGGCCATACTATTCCTGTTTAAGCCAGGGAGAGGTGTTCAGACTGCCCTGGAACTCGTTTTATAGACTGCCCTTCAACTCACAGAGATCCTCCTACCTCTACCTCTGCCTCCCCGTCCTGGGTGCTGGGATCAAAGGTATGCTCCATCCCTGCCAGGTGAGGTGCTCAGACTTTGTTGTGACGTCCCTTTCAGGATCCCGAGGCTTTTGGAAAAAAGAATGGCGCCCCCTGATGGAAAGATGGCCCCTCTACAACAGGTCTCCTGCTGTTGTTTTTCTGCCTTAAGGTACATTTGAACCAAGATGTTATCTTTATAGACAAGCAGAGGCTTTGTCAAGACATTAATTTTTTTCAATTAATGCTTTGTGTCAAGCTGACACATATAGAAGGAGCCATCCAGAGGCCCTGGGTTCCGTGAGATTATGCAGAGTTGCTGATAACCAATTCAAAGCAGAGTGACGTCAAAGTCAGAAGCCAGGGGGAAATAAAAGCCATGGATTCCCAAGATGAGAAAGAACCATGTGGCTAAAGGACCGTCAGCAACTGGAGGGTCCGTGTCCTGACGGACAGCCTGTCCTGACAGACACAGACATTCATTCCCAGCATTTCCTCACTTCTGACCTGTTTGAGGTTCTTGGGGCATCTTGCCTGGTTCCCGACAAGGGAGACTTGTACAGAAAGTGTGCTGGTTTGTTTTGTGTTTTATGTCAACCTGACCCAAGCTAAAATCATCTGAAAAGAGGGAGCCTCAATTGAAGAAAAAAAAAAGCCTCCATAAGATTGGGCTGCAGGCAAGCCTGTGGAGCAGTGATTGGTGCAGGAGGGCCCCGGCCATTGTGGGCAGTCCAACCCTGACCTGGTGGTCCTGGGTTCTATAAGTGAGCAGATAGAGCAAGCCAGGAGATGCAAGCCAGTAAGCAGCACCCCTCCATGGCCTCTGCATCAGCTCCTGCCTCTGGATTCCTGCCCAGTGTGAGTTCCTGCCTTGGTTTCCTCAATGGACCGTGACTCGGGGTACATAAGCCAAACAGACCTTTTCCTCCCCCAGGTTGCTTCGGGTCACCACAGCAATTGTAACCCTAAGTCAGAAAGCAAGCACCATTAGAAACAGTTCCTTACTGTGAGCTGTTCGCTCAGTGGGACTTTAGTCTGAAGGGCCTGGAAGAGGGTAGCGGGCTTTCTTGGACACAGAGAGAAACAGGACATTTCCCTTTCCCCAAGGAGAAGTAAGAGACATGAGTATCACTGGACCAGATGCCAGATCTGATCTTGGTCCCAGTCTTTTGCACAGACTCACTTCCTCCTTTCCGCCCTCAGTTTCCTCGGCGTTAAAATACTGGAACCCAGAGCCGGGCAGTGGTGGCGCACGCCTTTAATCCCAGCACTCGGGAGGCAGAGGCAGGCGGATCTCTGGGAGTTCGAGGCCAGCCTGGTCTACAAGAGCTAGTTCCGGGACAGGCACAAAAGCTACAGAGAAACCCTGTCTTGAAAAACAAAATAAATAAATTAATTAATTAATTAATTAAAAAAAATACTGGAACCCAGCAGTTCTCAACCTGGTGTGCACCACATAAGTATGGGCACATGACAGCCCAAGGGCTGCCTCCGGCCAACCGAAACCAAAAGTTGAGGCCAATCTGTGAGGTTCCTTCTTAATGCTCAAAGTATGATAACCCAAACACTCCCCTATGCTGTTGCCAAAGTAATCTCTCTAACACTGTCATGGTGACGGAGGGCCGGGCAGATGGGTGGATGAGCACAGGATGGAGAAAAAGATGGTTCTAAAGTCTCAGATGTAAACCAGAAATTGTGATCACGACTGAGAAGCCAGCAAAAACAGCAACTGGGAAGGAGCACCAGACCCGTGAGGAGGACTGAGGCCTGGCAGACATTTTGTTCTACCTCATCATCTCACTGTGCTGGGCAGTGCCCCTTTCTATATATTTTTGACAGGAGGGAGAAAGAAAAGACTAGAAACTGGTGCCAGGTCAGAGGAGAAACTTGCCTCTCAGAAAGAGAGGTTTGAAACCTGGTTTAAGAGCTCCCTTGGTTGACCACTCTCATCTCTACTCTATGGGACCCCTAGTAATTCTGCTTTTGTTACTGACTTGCATTCTTAACCGGCTACTGAAATTGATGAAAGACAGGTTGGGTATAATACAACTTATGGTCCAGAGATCACAAATCTACAGTCCCCTCAGGTCTGAAGATACGAGTTAACTGTTAGTAACCCAAGACTGAGTTCACTATAGTTACTAAAACGGGGAATGAAGAACTTCCTCCATTTTGCCCTCCACCTCTACCTTGTGCCTTGTATAAGTTATTTCCCATAAAATATTTTAGTCCTCAGGAATGGCTATGGGCAAAAGTAACAGGGTAGCCACCTGGAAAGTTCAGATAACCGTAGAAAGTTCCCACCCGAAGGTCAGCCGATAAGAAAACTAGGCAAGCAACAGGCAAGGTTCAAAAATAAAATTTGTGAAAAGTCCCTAGATACGAGCCAATCAGGTTTGAACCCCAAACCCTGCTAATGTAACTTTTCTGGGTTTTGCCTTTAAACAGTGCTCTCTAGAAGGGTGGGGTACCTCCTGTCACTGCTGGCTTGAACACGTGTACACAGTAAACCTTGCTTTTGTGTTTCAGTGAGCCAGTCTCCCTGGTGGTCTTTTGGGGTCTCCACGGACTGCTCACAACACTGAACTGATGAACTGTGATGCAAGTAAGATCATTCAGCCTGCTTCCTGGTGGAAAGAAGGCCCTGTCTCTGAAAAGCCAGGAACCCCTCCACAGCAGCCCAGGGAAGACCTCACATCCCTTAGACTTCCCTGTGCCCTGCTCTTCCCTCCCTTTGGTTTCAGAAGTTCTCACAAAGCGAATCCCTCTACCCAGTGCTTTGGAATCATCTGACCCCTCCAGACACTGTATGAACCCACATGACACTTGATTTCTGTCTCTCTGATAGCAAATGTATGCACTAATGATTGTAAGAAAAGAATCGAGGCAAAGCAAGAAATAGTGTCATGAGTGTTCACATGGTCTTAGGAAGCAGAGAGCATAGGTGGAGTCAGGGAAGGGCTCAGGGAAGAGCTGTCAGAGCAAGCTCTGCTTTGGAGAAGTGAGCTCACCCAGTAAACAAGGGAAGGCAGGCAGAGGACACAGCTGGGCAGGAAGGCGTCAAAGCTCAGCCTTTGTGGCAGGATCTGACTAAGCCATTCAGTGTGGGAAGAACTCAAGGCTGAGAATGCAGTTAGGATTGGGCAGAGATGAAATAGAGCCAGCAAGTCTGAAGAGCTGAGCTCAACCCTCAAGACCCATGTGCTAGGAGGAGAGAAGGGACTTCATGTTGTCTGACCCCACAGCAAGCCTGGCTGGCATCCACACGGCTGACTGGCTGGCTGGCTCTCTCTCTCTCCTCTCTCCCTTCTCCCTTCCTCCCTACTGCCCTCCCTTTCCTCCTCTACCTCTCCCTACCCCAAAAATGTAAAAATAAAAAGTTAAGTTAATGGACCTGGAGAGACAACTCAGTGGTTAAGAGCAATGACTCTTCTTCCAGAGGACCCAGGTTCAATTCCCAGCACCCACATGGTAATTCACAAATGCCTACAATTCCAGTTCCAGAGGTTCAGTGTCTGAACTTCTGGTGTCTGAAAGTACCACAAACCCATGTAGTACACAGATATACATGCAGATAAAACACGTGTAGCCATAAATTTTTTAAATGAAAAGGGTGTTTTAAAAAATAAAACTAGAATTTACAGAGACTTTTCACCATGTGGCAAGCACTATATTAAGCCATAAGGTCCTGTACAGAGGAAAACACTTTAAGAACTTTAGGAGCAATCAAAAGACTTCAGTGGGGCAGTGATGGCGCACACCTTTAATCCCAGCACTCAGGGAGGCAGAGGCAGGAGGATCT